CAAATATTATGACTATATAAAAGAAATATTACAAGTGTATATATCTTTATAATCTAAAAAAAGGTTAAGTACCTTTTTAAATTATGCATTCAAACAGTATAATTTGCCCCTAATTGCACAAACTTAAAACTTCATTGTCAACAACCTCAACCCTAATTTTATATCATATTTTCTATAAATGAAAATTTTCCCATGATTGTTTTAGAAAGCTTAACTTTGTCATTATCATGCTAATGACATTCACTGCATGTATTATCAAATAATTATAATTCCAACTTGTCTTTTCTCAACCAACTTCTTTGAAAAGTTTTTTTTTTTTTTCAAATGACATATTTAGTGCCCTAAACAAACAGCAAGTCATTTTTTTCCTTTGCTCGCGCATCTCAATTTCTATGAAGTACGAGAAAAGAAAATTAGTTCACCAACCTTAAATGTGACTTATTTGTATCCCAAATCATGAAAATTGTTTTCAAAATGTAAAAAATAGGCACGTTTCGCTTTTCTATGCTTTTTAAATGTTCCCTCTTTCCATGTCACGAAAATAAATAAAATTTCTCAGTTGACAAAAATCAGTTGGAACATTTTCAGCAAGGGAAGTGCTAACACTTGTCGGGCATTTACCAGAGATAATCCACTGCTTTCTAAAAATACATTCTTTAATATTTTTTTTAATATTCACCAAAACAATGTTTTTAATTAATAATTATTATTGATACTTTATATGCCCTTTTGAAAATTGGATTAGATCAATCCGTTCAATCGATTAAATTGAAAATTGAACTATAAATGGATTAATTATTTTTAAATAATTAAATTTTAATTACATTGGAATAAAATTAAATAAATTAGGATAAAACCAGTAAAATTGAAAAATCAACTGAATTTTTAGGTAAAATCAATTCTGGTAAAAAAATTAAGATTATATTTTTTTAATATAATTTATTTATAAAAAAATATTATTTTAGATTTTATTCTTTTTATCTCATATTAATTAGGTGAACTTTAAATAATAGTTATTTTAATATATTTTTATCTTATTTTAATAATTATTTATCTTACCATTTTTAATATATTTTATATTTAAAATTTTCATTATAACATGACATTAATTTTTATTAGTATTTTTTTAATTATTAATATTGATAAATTTATTATATATTTATTATATTATAAAAATATTATTTTATTAAATTCAGTTGTAACCGTTAAATCCAATACAATTTTTAAATTTCTAACTCCTATCTTCACCGATTCAATAATTTCTCTAATTTTAAAAACATGAACTAAAATTATCCATTGTCCTAATTAAATTAAGATAATAGTAAATATGTGAATCCACTGAACCAAAAATTTTCTAATTCAATTACTCATCTCAAATTTAAATTAATATAATAAAGTGTGCTAAATATTTGGAAGAAAATTTTTGTCTCCATAATAGTCCTACAATCTTTAAATAAAATTGTCTCTAGTAAAATACCTTGTATATATCTACCAAAACCTCAAACACAATTTATTTCGAGGTTGTAAAATCCAATTTCTTTATTAAAAAACAAACACGATATTTAAAAAACTCAACCACAAATATATATTAAATTTTATTTATAAATATCATTGAATTAGCCCATAACATAAAATAAAATATTGTTTGGTTTCACGTCAGGTCAAAACATACAAATCTATAATCTAAATTCAAATTGAAATTATTTTAAATAGGTTTCATTAATTTATATGTCAAAAAGCATGAATATCCAAGGCCACAAACGTAAGATCAAACAATTGCACATTTATTTTAGTGGGTGTTAAATTTGCTTCTTCCTATAATATGCATTCATCCCCTTATCTTTTTCTCACCTTCTTTCCCCCCTTTTTTTTATGTATTAACGATTTTTTCCTTCAAAAAAAAGTAAAAAAGAAAAATAAATGTTATATTTATAACATTGATATGACACTTTCCACAACGTGTCTATCTCTTTAAGAGAGTTATATAATTTATAGTACGATTATTGCACATAGTTAAAAAAAATTCAACTCACATAACTTCCAATCTATAAATTCCACAAACCTAGAAATTAAAACAATATAAACTAAATTCTTAAATAGGAAATGCATGTCGGTAGTTTATGATGACACATTGATTAGCATATGGAGGCCTCTCTAAGTTCAAAATAAGCAAATAATTTAGAAGTGAATGATGAGGATTGAAATGGACCTGATCCATGCATGAGGGTGAAAGCATAACCACTTTCCATATGTGAAGGGCCCACATATTTTGAAAGCATCAAAGGAGAAATCTCATGAAGAAAACCAATGTGTTTGGGTGTGGAGGTGTGAACATGATGTCAACTCAACTCAAGTTTCCCATTAGTTTGAATTGGGTTATTATGCATTAAAACCAATGAGTTACATTATTTTTATATTATAAATTTTTTAATTTTTTAAATAATAATTATTCTGACAAATAGATCTTACATCATTTAATAAATGAGATTAGAAATTATTTATATATATATATATATATATATATATATATATATATATATATATATATATATATACTAGTAGAAAATACGCTTTTAACATCGGTAATATTTTTATTTATTTATATATTTTAATTTATTTTATTTATTTTATTTATTTTATTTAATTAGATTCGAACCCGAGTACCTTAGAGTCGAAGGTCGATACTCCAACCACTAAGCTACTAGGAATTTTTCGATAATAACTTATACATAAATTATATTTATATACAAATAAAAATGTATATCCATGTAAATATATAAATATAAAATATATAAATACAAATACAAATATATTTATATATTTATATGTTGGATGTGAGGACGCGCTCGAGGATGAAAGTGTGTGTCGAGTGAATTTTCAAAATTTGATGTCAAATTTGTGAGCGGGTATCTTTATATGGATTATAACTTAATGACAAAATATAATCTTTATAATTTATTTATATAATGATATAAAATGATTTTTTTCTTTATTTTATATCATTATATAAATTAATTATAAAGATTATATTCTATATTATTATAAATAAATTATAAAGATTATATTCTATCATTAAATTACAAATTCATATAAAGATACTTGCTCACAAATTTGACATCAAATTTTGAAAACCCACTTGACACACACTTTCACTCTCGAGCACGCTCTCACATCTAACATATAAATATATAAATATATTTGTATTTGTATTTATATATTTTATATTTATATATTCACATGGATATACATTTTTATTTGTATATAAATATAATTTATGTATAAGTTATTATTGAAAAATCCTGGTAGCTTAGTGGTTGGAGTATCACCTCCAACTCTAAGATATTGGGTTCGAATCTTGTCAATGACAATTCTTTTAATTTTATAAAAGACTTTCTACATCGGTTCCAAAGACCGATGTTAAAAGTGATTTATGTACTAGTGATATATATATATATATATATATATATATATATATATATATATATATATATATTATACACCTTAACAGATTAAAACTTAAAAAAAAAATCAAATATAATTTTTTTTCTAATAATATTATTATAATAAATTTAGACTGAGACTCCTAAGATATTATTTTAATTTGCCTTTTATATATATTAAAGTGATTTAACTAATGTAATTTATTTAATTTAATGATTTAAAAAGTGAATGAGATTGATTCTTTGGACAGGCTTATTTGTGTGTGTGATACTTGGGGATTATAGATGGGTGACTATTTTGCAGCAATCCCATCATCATCAAACAATGCCTTATACAGTCCACCTAGATCCTTTTTGTGGGTCTCTTTCTCTTCTCCTCCTCATCCCCACCTTCCTCGTGTTGTGTTTTTTTCATGGACTCTAATAACATGCAAATGTTTCATCTTTCAATGCACCATTAATGATTTTGCCTCTAAGTAGTATCTTTGTTCTTCCCTTCACTATATATCATCACCACCAATTAATTCGCCTGCGCATAAAATAAGGTTTTATCGTGGTGCTAACATGGATTATAACCTGTCAATCAACCCGCTCACCACAGAGTTAGATTGAATTTGATTTTTTTTATTGATAATTAGTTAAAAATAAATTCGATTTATTTAATTTAGGTTAAATGGATTTAAATTGGATCATATAAATTGATTTAGAGTTCATAATTTATTTTAAATTTTAAAATTAATTTAATTAATATTATATTATCTCTTTATTTTTATCGTTATAAGTCCTATGTTCACTTAAACTTATCATTAATTGTTTTTAATTATATTTGGACGGCTTGGTATCCATTCGTGGTACTATTGTATCACCTTATTTATTGTATCTTATATGTCATCGTATTTTAGTCGTGTAATAGGGTTTGTCGCATCACTTTGTTTAAATCCGCTATTTTAATCGCATCACGGTGTTCATCGAACCATTACGTTCATTGTGTTACCACACCATCTTATTTGAGTCGTCACATAATGTTTATTTATCGTATTTCAACCTCATTGTAATATTTGTCGTATCACCGCATTTTAATCCCACAATTTAGTCATACTTATTACAAAAATAAAATAAAAAACAAAAAATAAATATAGGTAGTGAACCAACTCATTTAACTCACTAACCCGTAAATTAAGTCGGATTATGAAAATTTTAAATTACGATAAAATAAGTCGATTGAACTTACACCGCTACCTTACTTTCACACCCCAAAAATTTTATATTCAGGTTTTGTCATCACAAAAATTAATTAAAAAATAATAATATAGTAATCTATCAAATTCTTTAAGATGAATTAGTTATTAAATAATTTACATTTATGACATCATTATTCAAAAATATATTATGATAAAGGTTACATTAACTATATTAGAATTGAATTTGAACTTCTTCAACAATATATCAAGTTCAAATTTTAATATGATTTTCCTAAGAATTTAAAAGATTCATGCTCAGTTTCTTTATAGAGATTATTAATTAACACACAAAAAAAAACTATTTTGAGGACGGAAAATCATGGACCGTAAAAAACTATTTTTCACACATAATTATGTGTAATAAATTTGTTGACCTTTACCATAATTACTTTAAAAGTCATATTAATAGTGATTTCTAGTGATAGTTTTAAAAAGATACTAAATTCTTTAAAGATACCATGTAAATATATTTCGAAGAATAAAATTCGGTGTTTGTATAAGCTTAGGTGAATATACAAAATTAGAATCGCAATGTTTGAACTTAAATATCTATTATGAATTTGTAAACAAATAATGAATACTTAGATTATTTGAATGCAGTTGAGATTTTTTTTTTTTAAGGTCCTAGATAAAGTTTGATGAAGAATAAAAAAATAGTAGAAACGTAACATTATGAACGGTTTAGACACAATTTTAAATATATACATAAAAAATACATTTATTATAAGAATAAGAATTAAAATTAATTTATATTTTTATTATTCAATTTTTATAATTTAGTAGTCTAAAATAGTGAAGGTCAACGGTAAAATTAAAAATAAGTCTAAAAAATAAATATATATGTCTTATATATATATAGATTAATTATTATATAAAAACAATAAATATATTAATAATATGATCTAAAAATGTTTTGAATAAATAATTAGATTTATAATTGGAGAGGTAAAATTAGATCAATGTCTTGCAAAACAATTTTCTTTATTGGGATTAAACATCATTAAAAAGTTAAGTAACTCTCTGAGTTCATGCTCAAGTAACCGAGAAACTACTTTATTTTCTAGTGGATATTTTAGGGTTAATTAGTTTGTAATTTTTTGGTATATAAGTTTTATTAAAACTAATTTATATAAATAATAATAATAATCACTTTTCACAAAAATCTCTCTATTTAGTAATATTTTTTTTATATAAAAATTGAACTCAAAGTATTACTAAAAAATCCAAATATTTATCACTACTCAGCTCAAAATAAATTCGAGTCTATTTAGTCAAGCTCAAAAAATATTATGGAATTATATAAAAAAGTATATCACAAAACTAAATACGAGATATATCAATTAAATTATTTTTTTATAAAATATTAATTAAAATTAGTTGGTAAAACTAATACCTTTAAAACACTAGTTAAGAAATAAAAATGAAATTCTATTAAAAAAAACATAAATAAAAACGATTTTAATAATTCTGAAATATATTTTGTTATGATTTTTGAATTGTTTTTCTGTTCTTCTAAAATTTTTTAACCTAATAATAAAGCTGTTAAAATATAAATGACCCGATGAACAGGTCATAAAGTCTTCAAAATAATTTAGATGAAAAAAAATTATAACTTAAATGGACACATTAATTTATAAATTCAAACCGATATGTTTTTTTAGTTTTTTATTTAATTTATGATTTAAATGGACACATTAATTTATAAAATAATAATTTCATTTTGAAAAATAATATACTATATTAAAAGTATATGAATTAATTTATATAATAAATTTTTACATTTAAAGTTTTAATATTTAAAATATATTAATTATTTAAAAATATTTTTCATCATATTTAAATTTGAAATTAAAAATAATTTTACTAATATAACTTAAATATTAATTATAGTATTTTTTTATTTAAAATTATTTTGTTCTTCCTTTAAAGAAGATCAAAATATTTCATTAAACCCATTAATTTTACATTAAGCGCATCGAATTTTAAAAAAAGAACACAATTAATACTAATATAATTTTCTTAATCACCGGTGGAACAATGGAACAAGATCTATTTCATACCTAATTTTATTTGATTTTTTTTCTATTAAAAAAATCTCCAAAAAAGGCAGGGGCAAATCCGTCAACTTAAACCCAATGATCTAAAAGATAAAGTTGGAGTGGCACATTTGATATTTTACGTCAAAATTAAGTCTGATATGGTAAGAAAGCATGCATATAAGGCCAAACCCCTCTCTCCACTCACCCACCGTGCTTTTTTCCCTCTTCTTCCATCTTCTTCCCTTTTCACTTCATTATTATCCCTAAATTGCAGACTTTCACATCCCAGAAAACATGAAGCCAACTTTCATTTTTCTCTCTCTCATCTTCTGTTCCACCTTTCATGTCTCCTTCTCCATTACTGATGGTAAGCTACAAATCAATCACTCATTCCTTTATAATGCATTTTATGTAAGCACTTCATCTTTCACTAAAGTCGGTTTTGTATTCAAACTTTCTTTAAAAATTTTAGTTTTTAAACCTTGTTCCTTCCATTGTACACTCCTCACTCATAAGGGTATTCTTCCACACACAAAATATTTCTCATCTCTAATCTTATACACTTCAACAATTCAATTCAATGTTCATCATCTTTTATTTTAAATATAAAGAAAAAAATTACACAAGTAATAAAAACAAAAAACTCAAACTCAAGTTAAAGCTAGAGTTTAAAGAATAAAACAACAACTAACACTTTGAAAATTAGGTCCCACAAAATTGAATAAAGTCAATTCTACATTTTTAGATAGTATGTCCTAATTGTGTATTAGAAAAATGTAAATCCTTGAATTAGGTCTAAATCGCAAGTTTTAGATATTAAGCATTAGAAAAACCTAAGTCCTGTGTAACAAGAAAAAAAAAATCCATATAAACAAAACACAATTATTATACAACCCAATATAAAATAAAATAAAACTTGATTTTAAACTTATGTGAGTCGAAAATTACCTACACAAACATCAACTTAGTCATACTTAGTATGTAGGGGAAAGGTTTGTACTTATAAATATTTTCTTTTTAAGTAAAAATATTGAACTTAGTCAATTATAAGATTATTTTGACTAGTTTGAAAATAAAAAAGGCAACATAGTTATACATAAAAAAGTATGTAGTGAAGTTTTAAGGGGAAACTATTTGAACAGTGACCATTAATTAAAATGCCATGTGCCTCACTCATATCATACATGTGTTGGTCAATGAAAAAGTAGAAATTAAAATGCGGGCGTTACAATATCCAAAGGGATAAATTTATTTTAGTGTTTATGCATTCTTCCGTTTACTGTTAGGGTCGCTACTGCACTAGCTATTGACGGTGACCTTAAGTTGCAGGGGTGTCATAAATTCCCTAATTTAATAGTGATGGGACCCAGAGTTTAGGGTAAGAACAATGCATGCATGTTGCTCTGAAAATTCACATGGCCCTCTGTGTTGCTAGCGACATGTAGGTAGTGGTCTGCACCACCACATGACTTCAGAGATACACTTTCTGAAGACACTGTTCCATATGATAAAGCTTTGCAATTACCCAATTTTGCCACAGATTGTAGGATTTGGATTGGGCAATTGTGTTTTTTAGTAACTTTTTCACAATAATTTTGTATTAAAAAATGTAATAAATAAAATTTTCTTTTCATTTATTGAAATCATTTATACATCAGATAATTTTTTAATGTTTTATTTCATTTTTGTTTTACAAATATTATTGTAAATATTATGAATCTATACCAACATTTTTATAGATAAACAAGTTCAATATATTATTAATATATTACATTATGTAACAATTTTTTTTTTCTTTTTTTCATTCTTGATGCGAAGTTATTACCTGGAATCGTGTATCCAACATAGATCCAAACATAAACTAACACTTTTTCCCCAAAGATATATATATATATTTTTTAATAAAAAAGTATTGCATAGTATAAAATTATCCGAGTTTGACAAATTTTTATAATATAATTATGTGCCATAAATATTTGTTAAGGCTATACAAAATCATGTAATAATATTTGTTAAGACTACCTCTAAATGCTTTTATACATTGAGAAAATGAGGGAAAAATAATTCATCATTAGTATTTTTCTTTTTAATAATATTATAATAATTTAATTTCTATGAGATAAAAGTTGCATAAGACAATCCTAATGTTTATTTTTTTTACTATTAATATTATGGGTTTTATCGAGTAAATAGTTTGTTTATTCACCTTTTACTCTATCATGTAATTATACTTATCTTACTGAGGCAATATTTTTTTTTCAGATTTTTTAACTCTTTTTTATCATTAATTAATTTTTTTAAAATTATGAATTTTGATATTAATAAAAAAAAAAAATATTATAAACGCATTTCCGAAGAAAAACTCCACTAAAATGTTGTTGAATCAGGTTTTTCTATGATAAAATAGTAACACTAACATGGTTAAAAAACTAAAATAAAAAAATAACATCAAATACTTTGGAAATTAATTTGTATTGTATATTAACTTGTCCGGTGAACCGCGACGCAGGACTGGTGGCGAACGGGAACTTCGAGCTGGGTCCGAAGGCGTCGGATCTGAAAGGGACGGTGGTGGTGGGAGGAAGCCACTCGATCCCGGAATGGGAGATATCGGGTTTCGTGGAGTACATAAAGTCGGGGCAGAAGCAGGGGGACATGCTGCTGGTGGTGCCGGAGGGGGCGTACGCGGTGAGGCTGGGGAACGAAGCCTCGATAAAGCAGAGGATAAGGGTGATGAAGGGGATGTACTACTCCATCACGTTCATGGTGGCTCGAACCTGCGCGCAGGAGGAGAGGCTGAACATCTCGGTGACGCCGGACTGGGGAGTGATCCCGATCCAGACGCTGTACACGAGCAGCGGGTGGGACCCGATCGCGTTCGGGTTCAGAGCGGAGAGCGAGACGGTGGAGATGCTCATTCATAACCCTGGCAAGGAGGAGGACCCCGCCTGTGGGCCCCTCGTTGATTCAGTTGCCCTCAGAACTCTTTACCCTCCAAGACCTACTAATCGTAAGTTACCTCTGTTTCTTCTTTCTTCAAATTCAACTGCGAAATTTTTTAATTTATATAGTTAAGAAAAAAAAAATTGATAGTCCAATAGGTCAAGCTTCAGATTTTGATTGATCTAGAAATCCATACCAGAGAAAAAATAATAAAAATAATTATTTGAAATCTAAATAGCTAATAAAAAAAAATAATAGATAATATTATAAAAGCAATCCATATTTAATATTATTACAATAACAATAAATATATAAATATGAGATTTTATTAATATTATATTAACAAAATGAGTTAGAGGGGTGTCATTGTATTTTATTCCTAAAACTGAAATGAATTTAAGAATTTTTATTTAAGACACTAAAATTATTAGCTTAACTTTTTCATTCCTTGTACCAAATAGTCATGCTCACAGAGAGTTTGATTTGATGTAATATTCCTGGTGATTATTTCTGCATAGCTGTTATTTGGAATGCATATTAATCATGCAAAGCACATAATATTCATAGCTCAAGAGCAAGAAGATGGTTTAGTACCTACAAAGGCAATAGGTATATATATATATAGGTATATATATATATATATATATATATATATATATATATATATATATATATATATATATATATATTGGATGTTTATGCTTGGATATGTCAGAAAATTGATTAAAAACAGGTTGGATGTGGTCCTACATTCATAGTTCGCCATATTTAGGTAGGTAGGATGTTACAATCATATTTATGAAACCCAACTATGCATCTTATCCCTCTAGTAAAGCTTCTATTGGAGCTAGAACAAAAAGCAGCATAAATTCAAATTCATAATATGTCTGAGACTAGAATATAACAGCTGTGTTCTAACTCTTCCTCTTCATTGCATGTGTGTGATGTGGAATCAGTTCACTGTTCTTGCTTACCCAGGTGAATTAGAGGGTTCTGATTTTACATACATTGCTCCCTTAAAAGTAGAAAGAAATAATGCTACAGAAAATTTTAATTGTTTGTATAAAAGTGTGGTTGTAGTGTGAATTTATTTATATACACGGGACCATGAATACCAACTATCATTATTTTCTCAAAAATGTTGCTCTAAATCATGAAGAAGAGTTTCTTAAATGACTAATTGGAGATAGAACATCAGTTTGGGGATTAAAAAAATAGTATAGTGTTCATACAGTGAAGTGACAGAGTAAAAGTTTTAAGGTTAAAATTAGTTTTATACTGTTAACAAAAAAGAAATTATGATCGATATGACAGTGTAAAATCAACATTATTATGGAAAACTGCTTTGTATATATGCTTTAAAAACTAATCCTAATTGAATCTTCAAAGTGGTTTCTCTGTACATGTCTTAATTAACACATCTCATACTCCACAGAGAACCTATTGAAGAATGGTGGGTTTGAAGAAGGACCCTATGTGTTCCCCAACTCATCATGGGGTGTGATCATCCCTCCCAACATTGAGGATGACCACTCTCCCCTCCCAGGGTGGATGGTGGAGTCCCTAAAGGCAGTGAAGTACATAGACTCAGATCATTTCTCAGTCCCTCAAGGCAAAAGAGCAGTGGAGCTAATAGCAGGAAAAGAGAGTGCCATTGCTCAAGTGGCCAGAACCATCCCTGGCAAAACCTATGTCCTCTCATTCTCTGTGGGGGATGCCAGCAACTCCTGTGAAGGGTCCATGATTGTGGAAGCCTTTGCAGGCAAAGACACCATCAAAGTGCCCTATGAGTCCAAAGGCAAAGGAGGGTTCAAACGTGCAGCCCTTAAGTTTGTGGCTCTTGGACCAAGAACAAGAGTCATGTTCCTTAGCACATTCTACACCATGAGAAGTGATGACTTCTCTTCACTATGTGGACCTGTTGTTGATGATGTCAAGTTGGTAAGCCTGCGTAAACCATAAGAATTTGGATCATCCAAGGTTTATGAGGCTAATGAATCGAAGTATTAAGGGTTCTGAGCCTTTGAGCTTATTCTATAGTTAGGAGAATTATTAAGCATGTTTCTTAATTTCTGTCTTTTCTTTTTTCTAAGAGGTCTGAGGGTAATGAATATGATCTTCGTTTTAATATGGAAATAAGTGTGTATAACAAGTATTATCATCATCATCATCAATAGACGTATACTATACGGTGGAGTGTTTCCTTTCAACCCTTTCATGTATTTTGAATAAATGCTGAAAGAAAATAGATTATATTATCCATAACCTTGCTTTTATGCTATAAAAATAAAAATATTTTATTTTAATTGATCGTCTATTATGTTAAATTACAGTTTGACTTTTTTTTTTAATTTGCCAAATCACTCAATTAACTTTAAAGGTGGATAATAATAATAATATATATATATATATATATATATATATATATATATATATATATGTGTGTGTGTGTGTGTGTCAACTTATAATGAAAGGTTAGCATCACTAAATCTAAATTATAACATAATTAATTAAACATCTAATAAGTGTTTAAAGAGGTTCACGATTCTTTTGGAATAGTCCTTAAACAATTCTATTTTTTCTTCTTGGTTATCAAGATGAAGCAAATGGGTGAAGTATAGTGATCTCAAATCCAATATTTTATTTGAAAAAAAATTGAGAAAAACTTTGAACTAATATTCTTGTTTTTCAAAGCATTCCTCGTGTGGTAAACATAGTCATCAAAAGCATTTAGTGCATTTACATAACTAGGAATTTCACTTAGGTTTGCTTCTTAACTCATTCATAAATGAGTTTTGTTGACAATAGTAATGATAACATGAGACTCAAATCCATTTTTGGTTTCTATATTTTTACACGAAAGTGTAATTTTATAAAATTTTAATTGTAAATTTGATCCTGTTTTTCAAATTAAGCAATTTTGGTATGCCATTTAATTGCTTATAATTAAGAAAATGCTATATGCCTGTAAGTGATATAGAGTTGGGTGTTTCGACAAAAGTCAGTTGTCATTCACAAAACGTGCAGCCTGCGCGAGAGGACATTTGCCATTATGGCAAATGTGAATCACCTGCTTATGATTTATTTAATTAATTATTGTATGTTGCATGCCACTCCAAAGAAAATTGAAAAAGTTAACAAGAGTACAAGTTGAAGTTCAGAACGTAGAAGGAGTAACATCGTAGAGAGTGGAGATCGCAGAGAGTGGAGCAATGAAATCATGTTTGCATATCAATCATTTTCATCGATGATTTTATTTGATTGCCTTTTAATATCTTCTTCAATTCATTTTTTAATCCTGTCGGTGGCATAGGTGGCGTGCCCTAACCTCAAAATGTAAAGAGGGCAACATTATAATATTTAAACACAGATAATGAAATAAGGAGCAACGAAATCATGTTTCCTTAACCGATGGTTCCGATCAGTGATTATATCCTATTGACCTCCCAATATGTTCTTCGTTTCGTTCTTTAATTTTGTTGGTGGCGTGCCCTAGACTGGGTGTAGTTGGTTTCTTTGTTTGGTATTGTGCTTTCTAGCGTTCCGGTGTGGTGCTTCTGGTTTTGCTGAAGTTAAGTTTTTTTTTGTGTCAATTGTTGTTGTTATGTGTTTGTGTTGGCAAAATTTTGGTTATATATATATATATATATATATATATATATATATATATATATATAATACATAATTTAAATGTGGTAAGGTCATTATTTATTAAGCCAAATAATAAATTAAAAAGTTTGGCTAAAAACATATGTCATGAAAATAAAATTATGTAGAGACTATAACAATTTCTAATTTGATGAGGGGCCAAATTAGAAATATTAAAACTTAAGTAATTATCCTAATTCTAGTTATGTCCCCTTCTGAGAGCACGTAGACAGAACATAAGTTTCACTCTCGTTCCTTTCTTTTTATCCCCATCAAGAGAGAAAATCAAGAGGGAAATACAGGTGTTTTTCAGGTAGAAGACTATAAGATCAATATAATATTCTACAAAGACATCATTATTATGGTTAATTCAGGTACGCTTTCACATTTAGTTTACAACATGTTTATCAGTATGAGATTACGTTTATGTTTGATAGTTAGAATCAAAATCAGGATTATAATTATTAGTTTACCAACAATTGGTATCAGAGCCAAGGTCACGAGTTCGATTCCTGGTGGACAATTAGTGAGGGGTGATTGTTGCGGGTTGCACAATTGTCTCGTGGCAGAGGCCGAGTGGGCCGAGTCACAATCCAAGAGTAGGATACCTTGTAGGACAGTAGCTGAGGGAAAGATTGTTGCAGGTAGCATCAATTGTCTCATGGTGAAAGTCAGGTGGGCTGAGTCACAATCGAATCGTGACGATTGGGCTATTAAATTAAAAAGAGTTGCGCTCTGACTAATGACTATAGCTTTTGGTCTAGTGGTAAGCGCTTGATCCTAACAATTGGTATCAGAGCCGCCCATACTTGATTCATGTATGTCTTAAGAAATATTTAAAACTTCAGATTCTGTTTAATTTATAAAATCCCAATTACCGTGAACCCTAAAATTTAAATTTGGAGGTAACATCCCCGATCTGATTCTGCTTGCTGATGGAACCGTGGAGGAAGCTATGGATTCTTCTTCTTCTTCGTTTTTCCTTTTTGTTTCAGTTTAAGTTTCAAGTTTTACTGAGAAAGAAATAGTGTTTCAAATTTCAATCTTTCTTGTATTGGGTTCTCTGTTCTCTCTGAATCTTTTGTTTTCGTTATCTTTTCATGGTGGATATGGATGGGTTTGGAATTGGGGGTGGTGTTTGGGGAGTTCCCAACACAGAGGATCTTAGGTAACTGGTGAATGTTTTCACAGGTGTGACTGTTATTATTTTATTGCATTTATCCTCTGAGAATTTAAGGGAAGTTGATGTTAAATTCCCTGTTTAGGGTTTGAGTGATTACGGTTTAATCCCCTTTTAGGGTTTGGAACAGTGTGTTAAAGATACTCAGAACTATCTCTGTTTCATCCCTAGTGTGATTTTAGGGAGATGTTCATCCTTTATGTGTTGGTGAAAAATGAGGTATTTTTCATCCTTTGATTTGTTCAAAGGAGATGTTCATCCCTAGTGGGATTTTAGAGAGGTGTTTATCCTTAGTGAGATTCTAATGAGGTGATTGTCTTTGAAATTAGTTTACAAATATTAAATATTTGGTTTTGTTATATAAATAAAATATTCAATTTTTGGTAGTTTAATATTTTTTGTGAGCAAATTGAGTCAAGAAGTCATCAAAGTAACCTCTCTTGAATTGGGCAGTTCATGAAAAATATTGAATGTTAGTGTTTGTATATATTCATGCGAGTATTAGTCGACTCAAAGAAAGATTAATATTTGGCCGAATTGCATACACACTTTTAATGATAAACATGTGATAATTGTAAGGATTTGTTTTGTCGATGATAAATCAATCCAAAGACTAGTTTGTTGTTGGACGTGTTTTATTGTCAATGTTTGATTATTACAACAAGATACATCTAGCAGTTAATATTATTGTCCAAAGATTTGATATTGATGGTGCATTGGGTGTCTTGAGATGTGTTAAAACATTCTTTGAATATATATTTATAATTATTTATTTTATATAATGTGAGCATAATTAGTTTATTTCTCGTGTTCTAAATTCAGCTACAATTGATTTTGTATCTACCAATTTAAATTATGTTTCAATCCTCAAAAGTATGTTTCCTACTTTGCTCTGTTCTGAAGTCAATTTAGCGTCAATACCTAGTAACACTTGGTGGTTAGACTCAGGTGCAACTGCTAATATCAGTGTTTCTATGAAGGGTTGCCTAAGCTACCGAAAGCCAATTGATTCTAAAAAAAATGGATATATATTGGAGATGGCAAATCGGTAGAGGTGAAAGTTATAAGACATTTTAAATTATTATTGAGTACTGGTTTTTATTTGGATTTGAAAGACACTTTTGTTGTGCCGTCATTTAGACAGAATTTAGTTTCAGTTTCTTATTTGGACAAATTAAGTTATTTGTGTTCATTTGGAAACAATAAGTTCAGTTTGTCTTTTAATTCAGATATTGTTGGAACTGGTTCACTTTTGACTTATGATAATCAGTATTTACTTGATATTGTGGTCACCTATAATGAAACCCTTAATACAGAATCACGTGATACTAAACGTAAAATTGAAAATACTCACTCAGGTGCATTATGACACAAGTGCTCAGGTCACAATCGAATCGTGACGTTTGGGCTTGTGTTACACTCTTAAAGATATGATAAAGAGTATGATTTGTCATTCCACCTTATCGGAATCACTTTGGGGAGATGCACTAAATACGACAACTTATATTCTAAACAGAGTACCAATTAAAGCAACTACCAAAACACCTTATGAGCTTTGGACTGAACGACAACCTAGTCTGAAGCATTTCCATGTGTGGGGTTGTCCAGCTGAGGCAAGGCCTTATAAGCCAAATGAAAAGAAATTAGACTCCCGAACAGTAAGTAGTTATTTTATTGGTTATGCTGAAAGATCCAGGGGATATAAATTTTATGATCCCACATTAAAGACCATTTTTGAGACGAGAACTGTTACGTTCTTTGAAGATATTGAGTTTGGGGGGAAGATATTGAGTTTGGGGGGAAGATATTGAGTTTGGGGGGAAGAATAAAGTTAAGAACTTTATCTTAGAGGAAGAATCGGTAACAATTTCAGAATCGATTCAAATAATTACTTTTGATAAAGTAAGTTCAAAACCTCCACAAGACATTTATGATGAACCCCTTACTCAAGATGATTTGGTTGTTCATAAAGAACAAACTCAAAATCCTCAAGAACCTGTGCATCATGAGCCAATAACTTTGCGGAGATCCACTAGAGAAAGAAGAAGTGCTATTTCGAATGATTACATAGTATTTCTTTAGGAATATGAGGAAAACAATGATATAATGAAAGATGACCCAGTTAACTTTCGTC